GATCCTGTCTATAAGAAACTCACTTCAAATGCAGCAATATAGGAAAGTTAAAAGTAAATGAGGGAAAATGTGCATTATGCAAGCGTTAGTCAAAAGAAGCAAGTGTGGCTATAATTATTTCAGATGCAGTAGACTTCAAGGTATCATAGACAGAGAATGGCAAGGGTCAATCAACCAAGAAAATATTCTCCTATCTAACAATAGATCACCAAAGTACAAAACGCCAAGGCTCACTCTTAGAATTGAAAGGAGAAATAAATTAACAACTACACTTAGATACTTCAACACCCCTCTCAAAAATTGATAAATAATTAGATATAATATCAAGAAAGAAATAGGACCTAACAATACTGCCAACAAACAGGATAAATTCCTTGAAAAACACAAATTACCGCAACTCATCTGATACAAAACAGATCATTTTAATCACTCTATAACTACTAACAAAGTTGAATATATAATTTTAAAATTCCTCCCCCAAACCATCTCCAGGGACAGATGGTTTCATTGGAAAATTCAACAAAATATTTGAAGAAAAATTAACACTGTTTCTATACAATCTCTGCCATAAAATGGAAGAAGATGTAAAACCTCCAATTAATATTTTGAAGCTAATTGACCCCAAGTCTCACAAATTCTATAAAAAATTAACTCAAAATAGATAATTTAAATGTCAAACATAACAATATAAAAGTTTTAGAAAAAAGTCAGGACAATTTTCAGGGTTTAGAGCTAGGCAAAGGTTTTCTTAACTAAGCAATGAAAATATTTGTAAATAATAAAATGGATGAATTAGGCTATCAAAATTTAAATCTGGTACCATGTGAAAGACTCTTAAATAAATAAAATGATAATCTACAGACAGCAGAAAATATACCTTACAAATGACTAATATCTAAAAACTCAAAATCAACAGTTTAAAAAGTCTAGTTAAAATATGAGTGAAAAGCTGACATTTGGTCAAAGAGGATATGGCAAATGAGCACATAAAAGTAGATCAAATTATTAGCCATTGGAAGAATGCAAATTAAAACCACAAGGAGATATACACTAACCAAAATAGCTTATAACCAAATGATTACAAGGTTATAGAAAAGCTGGATCAATCATATGTTGCTGGCTGGAATCTAAAAATATATAGGCACTCTGGAAGGCAGGAAGTTTCTTAAAATTTTAAACATGCTGCCACCATATGACCCAGGAACTGCAATCCTTGTCATTTATCCTAGAGAATAAAAAGTTTGTGTTTACACAAAAACCTTACACAAATGTCCACAGCAGTTTTATTTGCAATAGCTAGACACTGAAAACAATGCAGATGTTCTTCAGTAGGTGAATGGTTAAGCAAACTGTGGTATATCCGTATAATGGAATACTACTGACAACAATGTGGAAAATTTCTAAAAATAAGTATTATAACAAAATTTGAGAAGAGTAACTGTATAGTCTGGACAGGTGAAGGTGTTTGATAAAAGCATGTATTTGGAAGCTTAAACTGGAAGAGATGTGTAGTATATCCTGGAAATAGGATAATTTTTAAAAGTTAGTTGTCCATTGTAAAAATAGAGGTTGATGTGATAATAATTGCTGCATTATTTCCCCAGGTGATCCCAAGAACAGCTTTGGGGGTCTCACCATCTGTGCCTTTTTTTTGTATTTTTTTAAATTGTACTTTAAGTTCTGGGGTACATCTAAAGATCTTGCAAGACTGTTGCATAGGTACACACATGCCATGGTGGTTTGCTGTCTCCATCCCCCATCACCTACATCAGGCATTTCTCCCAGTGTTATCCCACCTCAACCTCCCCGCCCCCTGTTGTCCCTCCCCTAACTCCCTCCTCACCCCTCAACAGACCCCAGTGTGTGATGTTCCCCTCCCTGTGCCCATGTGTTCTCATTGTTCAACACCTGCCTGAGAATATGCTGTATTTGGTTTTCTGTTCTTGTGTCAGTTTGCTGAGAATGATGGTTTCCAGATTCATCCATGTCCCTACAAAGGACATGCACTCATCGTTTTTTATGGCTGCATAGTATTCTATAGTGTGTATGTGCCACATTTTCTTTATCCAGTCTATCATTGATGGGCATTTATGTTGGTTACAAGTCTTTGCTATTGTAAACAATGCTGCAATAAACATACATGTGCATGTGTCTTCAGAATAGAATAATCTATAATCCTTTGGGTATATATCCAGTAATGGGATTGCTAGGTCAAATGGTATTTCTATTTCTTGTTCCTTGAGGAATCACCACACTGTCTTCCACAATGGTTGAACTAATTTACACTCCCACCAACAGTGTGAAAGTGTTCCTATTTCTCCACATCCTCTCCAGCATCTGTTGTCTCCAGATTTTTTAATGATCACCATTTGAAATGGATTTGCATTTCTCTAATGACCAGTGATGATGAGCATTTTTTCATGTGTTTGTTGGCCTCATAAATGTCTTCTTTTGAAAATTTTCTGTTCATATCCTTCGCCCATTTTTGAATAGGTTCATTTGTTTTTTTCTTGTAAATCTGCTTGAATTCTTTGTAGATTCTGGATATTAGCCCTTTGTGAGATGGCTAGATTGCAAACATTTTTTCCCATTCTGTTGGTTTCCAGTTCTTTTTAATGACTATTTCTTTTGCCTGCAGAAACTTTTAAGTTTGATTAGATCCCATTTGTCTATTTTGGCTTTTGTTGCCATTACTTTTGGTGTTTAGTCATGAAGTCCTTGCCTATGCCTTGTCCTGAATGGTTTTGCCTAGGTTTTCTTCTAGGGTTTTTGTGGCATTAGGTCTTATGTTTAAATCTTTAAGCCATCTGGAGTTAATTTTAGATTAAGGTGTCAGGAAGGGGTCCAGTTTCATCTTTCTACCAGTTTTCCCAACACCATTTATTAAACAGGGAATCCTTTCCCCATTGCTTGTTTTTGTCAGGTTTGTCAAAGATTAGATGGTTGTAGATATGTGGCATTGCTTCTGAGGCCTCTGTTCCGTTCCACTGATCTATATCTCCGTTTTGGTACCAGTACCATGCTGTTTTGATTACTGTAGCCTGGTAGAATAGTTTGAAGTCAGGTAGTATGAGCATCTATGCCTTTTTAGTTCAGTTTTGTTTTTCGTTTGTTTGGTTGCTTTTTCCTTTTTGTATTTGTAGAAATTTAAGGGGCACATGTGCAATTTTCTTACATAAATACATCACACAGCAGTGAAACCTGGGCTTTTAGTGCATTAATCACCCTAATAATGTACATTGTACCCATCAACTAATTTCTTATCTCCTACCCATTCCTACCCTCCCACCCTACCAAATCTCCAATGTCTATCATTCTACATTCTATGTTCACGTGTACACATTTTTTAGCTCTCACCTGTAAGTGCCAATATGCAGCATTTGACTTCTTGCTTTTGCATTGTTTTGCTGAAAATCATGGCCTCCAGTTTGATCTGTCCTTTCACTTCACTTGTAAGGTAGACAAATATTAAGTTTTGGCCAAAGTAAATTTTTACTTAGATTGGCTTTGTCAACTAATACTTTAATCATTTTCCCTGGATTGAGTGGGATTCCTGGTTGCAACTTCCTTTAGTTAGATTCTCCAAGTTTTTTGGAACAATATAGACAAGTAAAAATTGTAAAAATATGTTAGTGGCCAGGGAAAAGATACTGTTTGCTTGGCAAACTCTTTAATGACAAGCTTCTTGCTTCCAGTTTTAGGGATGTACAACTTTCACCTGTGCACCAGATGTGTCAAGAATCATAGAAAACATCTCTTTTTTTTTTTTGAGACGGAGTTTCACTCTTGTTACCCAGGCTGGAGTGCAATGGCGCAATCTCGGCTCACCGCAACCTCCGCATCCTGGGTTCAGGCAATTCTCCTGCCTCAGCCTCCTGAGTAGCTGTCATTACAGGCACGCACCACCATGCCCAGCTAATTTTTTGAATTTTTTGTAGAGACGGGGTTTCACCATGTTGACCAGGATGGTCTCGATCTCTTGACCTCGTGATCCACCCGCCTCGGCCTCCCAAAGTACTGGGATTACAGGCATGAGCCACCACGCCCGGCCTGAAAACATCTCTTTTTTATAACTTTTGGACTGGGGGAGATAAAATTTCAGGCATTGATGCTTACAGCAAGTACTGATATTTATGCTGTTTATGAAATAGATTTCTCTAACTCATGACTTATCTTAAAGATAAATGGGGAGAAAGGAAAAGTCAACAACAGAGGGAAAAAATGAGTATACTGTCTTTTGAAAAATTCACTGACTTACTATGCATTCATAGGTAAATCATTTTGCTTCTATGGCTCTGTATTTTAATTCATAAATGAAGATAAGATTAAATTAAATAGCAAAAATGGAACCACTCTGAAGACTTCAAAATGTAAAAATAAGGACATGTTTATGCTTTATTTAAATGTGACCCAACAAAATTTAATTGATCATCTAATCCATACCAAAGAATATCCTAGCTTTTAAGATCTAATACATTCTTTATGCCTTGAGGATATCACATCATATATACAAGCTGCTATGGGTTATAAAACAAGTCTAGGCTAAAGACCAACTTCTGGCATTACAATATCTGAGCTCCAATGACTCCAGTGAAACTGATAAAAATTGTGTTTTTAAAGGCCTCTTGAAAATTGTACTAAAGGCAGACAGCAAATGAAGAAACATCTGTCCACAGAAATCTCAAAAAATTCAGTAATAAAGGTGAGTCTATGGTTCTTGAACAAAGAAAATCCCATCTCTCTCCCTACCCAGCACAGCGGGGTAGAGCTTCCATTCCAGACTTCTGGAGCCAAAAATCAGGGCTTCTACCATTCCCATTCTCCATCTAGAGGGATTTCTTCTCAGGATCTGCCTCCAAGTACCTATTGCTGAGGCTAAGATCTGGGTAAATATGGTCAAGAAAAGCAGTTCCCTTTCTCTGCTCAATCCCCAGTCATGGAACATAGTCTATCTGTTTAGAATACTGAGATCCTTATAGCCCTTGCCCCAGCACTTAAAGTGATAATTATTCTACATTTGGAGAGCTGAAGTAAGTAACCTCAAGCTGTAGCTCTCCCTCCCTGCATCAAGTTCTGGGTTGCTGAAACAGGAATGTCACTCAAAGAGAATCTTGCCCATGTCCCAGCTCTCAGCTCTACGGCCTTAACTCAGAGATTTTGCCTGGTAGGAGAAGCAGGCCACAAAATGATGACTCTAAGTACTTTGCAAAGGAGCTGACTTTATTTTCAACAAAGCATGAAGAAGCTAAAGTCAAAGGGCAATCTCAAGAACAGGGAAGATTGCAGTGAGGGAATATTCAGAAGAGTTTTATGATCTGATAAAGATACAGCCTAGTTTGTAGGCCCACTAGTTTGTAGGAGAGGACTGGGCAATCTGACAAATTGAAGGAATGCTCCTGAGGTCAAAAAAAAAAAAAAATCACACAAATCATTAAAAAGAGCCAAATGAAAATTATGGAGCAGAAAACTGTAATAACTGAAATAAAACATTTATTAGAATTAACATTAGATTTGAACTGGAGGAAGAAAGTTAGTGAAATTAAAAATAGATTGGTAGAAGTTAGGCAAGATGAAGAACAGACAAAAAAGAATGAGGACAAATAAATAGATACTCAGAGAAATGTGGAATACCATTTAGTGCACCAATATACATATAATGGGAGTATCAGAATAAAGGAGAGGAAGGAGAAAAACATATTTAAAGATATAATGGCTGAAACTTCTTGCATTTATTGACAAACAGTAGTTACAATGAACTTCAACTAGGGAAAGCACAAAGATACTCACAGACACATCACATAAAAGTGCTAAAAGTAGGTCAGGCATGGTGGCTCACACCTGTAATCCCAGCACTTTGGGAAGGCGCAGCAGTGGATCACCTGAGGTCTGGAGTTCGAGACCAGCCTGGCCGACATGATGAAACCCCATCTCTACTAAAAAATACAAAAAAAAAAAAAAAAATTAGATAGGCATGGTGGCCGGGGCCTATAATCCAGCTACTGGGGAGGCTGAGGCAGGAGAATTGCTTGAACCTGGGGGCAGAGGTTGCAGTGAGCCGAGATTGTGCCATTGCCCTCTAGCCTGGGTGACAGAGTGAGACTTTGTCTCAAAAAAAAAAAAATGTTAAAAGTGAAAGATGATGGTAAATCTTCCAAGCGACAATAGAGAAATGATGTGCTATTTTTAAAAAATAAGGTAAAATGAAGACTTTACCAGATAAACAGAAGGTGAAGAAATCTGTTTCTAGCAAACTCACCTGGTAAGTAATACTAAAAGAAATTCTTCAGGGTAAAAGCAGTTGACACCAGATTGCAATGTGGAGTCGCATAAACAAACAAGGAGTACCAATAAAAGTAATTATGCAAGTATGAAAGACACTACAAATGTATATTTTTCCTTTCTTCTTTTGATGGATTTCAAGAGGAATTGTAAAAACTTTTTATGTACATTTTAATAGATAATGTACTATTTATAATATATGTGTAATGTATTTGCTGATAATAGTACAAGGAGGTAGGGGGAGTAAAGCTGTAATAGGTTAACAAAATGACGACATATGGTAGTATAATAATTATAGAAATGTATTTTGGGGTTTGTAACATTAATAGATATAATACATAGAATAAAACCACAAAAAAGTAGAAAATAAAATAAAGCCATATATCACTGGAATTAGGCTAGTTTAAATCTAAGGCTCATTTTGATCAGTTAAGATGCATATAGTAAATTCTAGAGTAACCACTACAAATCAAGTCAAAAAAATAGTGAAAAAATTATTTAAAAAATATATATGCAACGTTAGAAGATATTCACTTAAAGCCATACAGAGGAACTGAGAATCAAAAAAGACAACAGAACATATAGAAAACAAAAGTAAAATGTAAGATGTAAATTCAAATACATAAATAAAAACATTAAGTGTTGGTGAATTGATTCAATCAAAGGCAGAGATTGTCAGAATGGAATTTTTTTTTTAGATACGGGGTTTTACCATGTTAGCCAGGATGGTCCTGATCTCCTGACCTGGTGATCCACCCACCTTGGCCTCCCAAAGTGCTTGGAGGAATTTTTTTTTTTAAGAAAATACTCTCCATGTGTATGTTTAGGGAAGAAGATATACTTTAGATTCAAAGACAAATAGACTACAAGTAAAATGATAGAAATGACATATATTGCAAACAGGAACTGTAGAAAAGCTGGAGTAGGTATAAAAACTTAGACAAAAGAGACAAAATCAGAACATGTTACTAGAGATAAAGAAGGGCATTTTATAATGATAAAGGGGGAGATTTCATAACTCTAAGCATACATTGACAAATGCTTAGCTAGATTGACTAAGACAAAAAGAGAGGACTCAAATTGCAAGATTGAGAAATGAAAGAGGGGACATTATTACAGACCCTACAGAAATAAAAAGAATTAAAACAAATACTGTAAACAATTATATGCAAACAAATTAGATAATTCAGATGAAATGGACATATTCCTAAAATGATACAAAGTACCTAAACTGACTCAGGAAGAAATAAACAATCTGAATAAACCTGTAACAAATTAAAATATTAATTTAATATTCAAAATCTACCCACTAAGAAAAAGCCAAGGTTCATATTGGTTCACTGATGAATTCTATCAAACATTCAGAAAAGAACTAATAGAAATTCTTTACAAACTCTTACAATAAATGTACTGAGAGAGAATACTTCCCAATTTATTTCATGAAGCCTGTTTTACCTTGATACAAAAAACAGAAAACAAAATCACAAGGAAGAGAGCCTGATGATAGATTATCTTTATCCTGGATTCAGCCCCAGAGTCATAATATTAGTAGGAACTAAATTCAAAAATAAAAATATGCATGGAAATTATTTACCTGAATTTTTGTCCTTATTGGTTAAATATAATTGCTTTTAATCTTAAAAGAAGGGATAAATATTTCATTACTTTTTGACCTTCAAGTTCTTTTAAAACTTGCTGTGTGTTTTAACAAGTCTTTCATAAACGATTCCCCCATATTCTTAGGCAAAGGAAGAAAAAAATTAAATTACCAAGGATTGAATATTTCTAATCTTTTGAAAGATTACAGTCCTTGCCCCTCTTTCATGCTAAAAATCTGAGTCAGATATCCACTCTAAATGATCTGTGCTAGTATAGTGGTCCTCTGCCTTGGATAACTGGAAACCTTAGATAATCTTCTCATTAAATTAGGATTATAGTAATAGTTTGTCACACTCTGTTTTCTATGTCCTTTGAGTTGACAGTCTTTACCCACAGGGCAGTGGCGTACTTGAAGTTCCTAAGCCTATACAACAGGGAAAGCTGCCAGGCTTATGGTCACTAGTTGAGAGGTACAACCATTTACCCATTTTTCAATCCCACTTTTCGATCACTTAGCAATGAATTTATTTCTTCAACAAACTTATGTGAAGGTTTGTTTTCTATAGGACAGACACTATAACGGATGCTGATAATACAAAAGCAAATAATACAGAGCCCCTATCCTTGGCACTCACAATCTAATAGCCAAACGCAAAGAGGAGATGGGGGTGGAGGGAATGTACAACAATATGCCATATATACTTTAGAATACATGATGGTGAAGTCAATAAAGATTTCAGAAAGGAAGAGATACTGATCTGAATTTTAAGAGTGAAGATATGTTCTTCCAGCAGACAAAGGTGGAGTGCACATACTTTTACGAGAAGGTGCAGACTCTTTCATTGAAATAATCATCTTGTACCCACAGCAAAATAGCATGTCCAAATGATATATCCTTCCCCACAGAGTTAAGCAAATCATTGTCAATACATTAAATCCTGACTTCCACATTTACAAAGCTCACAGAAAATCATTTAACCTCTTTCTTTGGAGATATGATAAGTGTTTAACCTCTTTAACAGGAGATCTTTTTCTGCTTATGAACCCCACAGCATTCTCCAGAGTTGGGAACGAGTCTCTTGAGCCTTCCCAGTGGTGATGGTGGAATAGTGGCAAGCATGGCTGCTTTCCTGAGCCTTACCTTTCTCTAGGGCACTGTCTAGCCTAGGTGAAGCAGGAAAGTGGCCCATCTCCACTGCATACTTACCAAGAACATGCCAACTCAATCTGGCCGACTCAACATGGGCAAACACATTTTGGAACACTCAAACACAAACATCCCCTGCCTGGGATGTTCCTAACTTCAGAACAGAATTCCCAACAAGTTTAAAGTTAAGCCAGTCAAAAAAGTGTCTGCAAATTCTTCTTTGAACAGAAAGCAGACTCCTGGGCACTGTTATATTTAACTGTGGAGTCACCGTGTAGTCCATGTATCAACCACCTGGCATGTTAAATAAGCAACATCTTCCATTGGTGTACCCTCTTACTATGCATGAATATATATAACATGCATTATTTCATTGGATAACTCTAGGCTAAAGAGGTCAAGTGTTCTCTGGAGTGACCGAGGAGGGACTAGAACTCTATAACATGATCAATGTCACTCAGGTAGTAATGGAGTCAGAGCCAGAGCAGAACTTTCTGGGTCCTGAGTTTATAATGTAGAATCTACTTTTTGTATTGATTATGGTTTTATTCTTCTCACATGACAAAAAGTTTAGAGGGACAATTCAGCATTGTTGTAGTAACTCAGTAAGACTGGCAAGAACTGCAGTTTTTTTTTCTGTCTGCTCCATCCTCACCTTGTAGGCCTTTGTGCTTGTGTTTGCCATCTCCTGATCGCCAAAGAACTGCTTAAATTTCAGGCTTCGAGTTTACTCCCTGGGAAGGAAAAAGGTGGAAGGGCCTGTCTTTTTTTTTTTTTTTTTTTTTTTTTTTTTTTTTTTTTTTTAACAAATAAAAGCTTTCCTTAAGTCCCAGGGGACTCCTGTTGACATCTATTTGGACATTATTATGTTACCTGGTCATCTCTAGGTGTGAGGGACAGTAGAAAAAGGGGTTTTGCTTTTGAACTTGTAAAGTAGAAAAAAGTAAGGGAAGAGAGGGTATTGAATTGCTCCTGGGTAAGGTCCCAAATACCGTGTCTAGCACTAGCTGAATTAGGTTGGCTTTTAAAATATATCTTAATTTTCATTAGGTACAAATTATTATTACATAGAATTATTGGAGGTAGCGAGGAGGAGGTTGGAATGTCAGAATATTTTGAATTGAAAAACACAGTCTTGTCCCTTCTTGTTCTAACCTAAATGCTTTTGCAGGGAGATTACTCAAATCTAGGATTTTTCACATCTGCCATTAATACATCCATTTTGTACTTTGTACCTTTTTTCACACGTTTGTTTGTTATTCTCTTTTCTTTTTTTCCTTCAATTTTTAATACAAATTTTAAACATACACAAAATAGAGGCGATAATATAAAGAACCCCTATGTACCTCTCAGCAGTGACCACCTGCAACAATGATCCTTTTGCCAGTCTCGCTTTGGCTATCCCCTCCTTTTATTCCTCCTGAATATTTTAAGAAAGCTCATTTCATTTCTGGCACACCAGAATGAATTATGTCTATATGTATGCCTCTAATTTATTCTTCAAACAGAAGAACCTATAAGGTTTTAACATTATTTCAAAAAAATAATCAATGGAAAATTATTGTTTGGAAATTCTATATCTTCTCTTTCCATATTTTGGCCTCTCGTTGCAAAAGATCAACAGGGGGGAAAAAAGAAGAGAAATAAATGTTAAAATGAGAAGCTGAATTTTTAAAGAACTGGGATGTTAAGCAGAGCTTCAGCAACCCCCTATGGGAGTACCTCTCCACTACACAGAACAGAATTTATCCTCCACCTAACATTTAGGTCACAGTTAATCTGCCATTTAAACTATCCTTGACAATTAATACATGGAACAATTAGTATTCTGTTTAAATATATATTCTTTAAGTTTTTTTTAAAGAAATTATAAATTTTAAACCATGTTCTAGAAAGTAGCTAATGGGAACTGCCACAATACCCTACAGGAGAAGCTGTTTAAAATAGCAGCTTCTTCTCTCTCAGAGATATTGATTACTCTGACCCTCTGCCATCTTTTTCTTGAAGACAAATAATCCAAAATGTTAACAACTATTCCCAATTAAGTATGTATTTTTTCATTCACATACAGTGTTATTCACCTGTTCAGCCATTCTTTTATAAATTCGCTCATTCATTAAACATTACACAGGTCCCATATGCATGCTGCCACTAGAATCTTTAAGGATGAAAACCCTAGTAAGGAACCATAACTGTCTCTGTGTTTTCATAAAGCTAGGCGAACTCACACCCTAAAAGCTTTACGTGGGAATCAGGTAAAAATTGGTTATAATCTAATATTTGGAGAGTAGAAATGCCAATATCAAAAGTGTTTTACAAAAAAAAAAAAAAAAAAAAAAAAAAAAAAAAAGGCATAGTGGCAGGATCATGGGGTGGGAAATTGGCCTGGCTGGAAGAATCGCTATATGTGTATTTTTATCATCCATGTGTTGGATGAAGCGGAGAGCTGCCAGATAGCTTCTTTTCGACAGCTTGGAGTTACTGTTGGGAACAGATCCATGTATGGAAGCGAAAGCCGAAAGGCACAGATAAGCTGAGATCCAGCTATGCAAACCATGTTTAGAGACACTTAAAGGACAAGCATCCCAGGTCCTTTCTTTCTGGTAAATTTAGAGAAGCCAGCATACCGGGATCTTTTTTCACATCCAGCCCATGCGGACTGAGCAGCCAAGGCTTGACAGAGGTAGGTGCCGGGCTTTTGTGATGGAACTTATATAAAGGATCGTTTGCAAATATTTCCTCCAGAGCCCTTGATGTCCTTTAAGGGAAGGTGCCAGATAATATTTCGAAAAGAAAAACAACAGAAAAAAAAATAAGTTGGGGCTAGTGACTAAGAGGTATTTAACAACTCTGCCTCCACAAAACGGGAAGCTTTGCTACGGAAGAAAAGTGACAGCACCGATTTGCTGCCAAATAAAATCCCTCTGTCCTAGGTCACTTACCATTTGGAATTTTGTGGATACAAGTCTTCCTCGATATTGCCAGCGCCTTTAGGAATGAGCCACAGCTTCCACGGGGTTCTGGGACTCTGTGTATTTTAGGCTAGGGGAGGTGGGATTTGTCTTTTTCCTTGCTTGTTCTCAAGCCAGCAAAAACTCGCATGTGTGACTAGTTCTTCCTTAGACATAGGAAGAGCTGCTTGTAAACGACGTTATTATTTTTGGCAGCTGAAGTCATTTTTGCAGTACTTCTCCGCAGATCGGAGGTTGATTACATCCTGTTCAGATTCTTGGGTTGTTTTCACAAACATGGGGTCTTACGCAAGTTGAAGTTGCTGAAACTAGCTGCGAGCCCTGGGCTTTTCTCAGCGCCTTTAAAATTTCTTCTTTCTTTTTTTGCTACTGACTGAAAACTTTGGAACTTGAGAGGAAATGTTTTCAAGTATTATTATTGTTTTCAAGTATTATTATTGTCATCAGTGATGTTTTGGGAGTAGACTGCGGCAGAATATAAAAAACTCTGTGTCTCAGGAATCCAAGGTAAAAGTATGAATATGAAGAGAGTAACACCACCAGTATGTACATGACTGCCCTGTATTTTCTAGAATACAGATGAATCCAGCCAAATCATATCAATTGCACTTTGAAATGCTACTCCAGCTAATTACCAAATTGCGGTTATTAAATTAAAGCATATCTGTTAAAATTGTTAGCAAAGTCTGTGAACTCCTGCCAAACACAAACGTCCAGGGAAAAATTATAGGTCATATCTATAAAATATGCATGTTTTGCCAAGATTGAATTTTAAAAAATTATACAAAATAATGGAATTTAAACTCAAGATTTATTTTGCTGAGAATAATGTGTCTGTAACTCAACTAAGATTTGGACCAATTCTTTACCTAGCTAAGTTTTCAATCTGGAGTATGAGTGGGAAAAAGAAAAGAGTAAAATGAAGAAATATGGAATGTGATATTCCTTCTCTGATGAGAGATGTGACATGGCAAATTATTAAAAAGCAAGTATAAGAAAATAAAAATAGTTTGTAATACTGATCAAGGAGATGTTCTCTGGATAAATTAGGTGTCTGGGAAAGGCAATTCATTTAACAGATACAGATGAAATGACTAGTTTTGTGGTGGTTTCTTTCAAGCTGTGAATGTCCCATAACACTAAAAAGGTGGCAGAGAAAGAGGAAATGTGTTTTTATTTCAATAATGCACTATAATTATTAAAATAATTATAATACTAAAAGATTGTTTTCATCAAATTATTCTTTTATATGTCGATTTACAGTGACAGCACATTAAAGTAACACATTTGTAGATTTCGAGAATAGGCTATTTTGCTTTACTTAAAAAATACTAATGTTCTGTATTTGTGAGAGAGAGAGAAAAAGAGAGAGAGAATAAACTCTGCCTTTTTTAAACTAACAGAGACAAGCTGTCATAACTTTTGCTAAAGTGGAACAGGCCTGCAAAAAGATGGTTTTAAAATACTTAATTAAACGCTACATACCAGCCGGCTTCTCAAAAGGAAAAGCATAGCAGTAGTCTTTGCAATTTTCACTATGTAAAAGGTTCACATAAATGATGCCACTAGTGTTTGTGAACAGATGCAATGCATATATGACATCAGCCACTGTGTTCTCGTTTGCCTACTGCCAAGTACATTTCAAGTGTGCACTCCTCATGAGAAATGTCTGCTCCCGTTTTTTCTTTTGCAAACTAATTCAAAAAGCATAACATAAGTAATAGAGAATGACTTTCTGCTATTTTTTTGTATATACTATGTGAAGATTTATGGAAGAAAATTCATGACAGTCAAGCTACTTGTCCTTTTGACTCATGGCTTCTTAAGCATTTAGTGATGACTATACATGCAGAAAATCTTAAAGAGGTCGTATTTTGAGAGGAAAATTGAAGGTGTTGGCAGTCTTAGGTAAGAAAAATGGCTTTTAACGACTGTGTTAGAGTCAGCTGAGGTATGAAGCAAATTCATGGAGGCCAAGTATGATGAAAAAATTCGGAATTGTTCCAAATAGCCTAAAGCACAGGTTAGAGGCTTCTGTCTACAGGACGGGACCCGTCTGGATAGCTGTGGGCCTGCTCTATGGTGTGACAATGACAGGAAAAGCAAGCACTTTTTAGAGGATTTGATGAGGAACAGCATTTCTGGATGTTGGAAGAGAATTTTTATGAAAGTAAGAGTAGGGATTTATTCTTCCAGAAGCCTGGAAAATTTTGACCCATAGAAAAGGTCATTTTGTTTCAAGGTAAAATATGCCATTGGCTATTTTTTACAAAAAAAAAAAAATGTCAAAATCCCCTTACTCAGATGTCTACAAACTGTGAGACATCGACTGGTCCCTGACAGAATAGTAAAAAGATTTTAAGAATGTTAAAAATGACACAGAAGTCCCCAGACTAGGCAAAGGTGCTGGTAAGGAATTTGAAGGCCAGAAAGGCTATAGGATGTCTCTAAGTTCAGTCATTGGAAGGTGAAGGTCCCCTGGGGTCCAGTTTACCTGGTATTCTGATCAGACATGATCTGCTCATGAAGAACTTCTTTCAATTTTTTATCTTAACATTACATGACATTTTCAAGTCTTGTGGCAAGATATTGGAAGAAAATTGTATGCTGGAACATTTTTGATGGTAGTTTTAAGGTTTGTGAAGTAATAAAAGGGAAACAAATTCAAGAGGCATTTAGCGCTGTTGAGGAGAAAAGGGCCTTTCTTATCCCATTGATTTCTTTCCCTGATATGACTCATGGTTATCAACTCTGACTGCACATGAAAATCACTTAGGGTAGGTGATGCCCACATTGTACCCGTGAGGAATTAAATATGTTACTGGGGTCCAGACAAGGGTAATTTAAGTCCATTCCATGACATTCTAATGTGCAACCAAGATTAAAAAGTATTTCATTTATGCAATTAAAAAAGGTGGTAACCAGTCTAATTTATTTGAAAAGAGGAGTCAACAAAACCACAGCTGAAGACTAGAAAAAGAAAAAATGTACTTTTATCCAGAAGGATAATTTCCTTGGAGGTTTTATTGATATAATCTTTGCTAACAGAGAATTCCTATTTTAAAAGTTTCAGCATATTTAAAAAGAAGTTTTCTCTGTAATAAAGGATTGATTTGTATCTACTTGATATCTACCATACTCTTTAGCCTGGATCCTGTGTGAATGCTACCCACAATTACTGAAGGCTATAAAATTTGTATATGTGACATTATAGTTCTTAACTACAGATACAGACATCTTGAAAGGGCATGTTAATTTTGGAGAGCAACAATTTTCTAAAAAATGGACAAATTTATTCTAAAAAAGGAAAATCATGCTATCTTTGACTTTTACCTTTCTAGGAAGTACCAAGAACTTACTAAACTTTAAAAAATGAAATCATACCTTAATAGAAGTGATGAGGACCAGGAAATGTCTTAAATCAATTTCTGAACCCGGCATGTTTTAGGTAAATGAGAAAGAAGACTCCACTGAATATTTACCCTATTCTGAGCAATGTATTAGATGCCAATTAATAATAATATATAATAATTATAACTCTAGTTCCTTTATCTGCCCAGCAGCTTGCCTTCTGAGAGACAAAGTGCAATTATATATGTTTCTAAGAATTATTGCCAGTTGCAAACTGCTGTTGAATTTCATGCAAAGAGACACAATGCTAACAAACTATTTTTAAATCTTTACTATTTTTATTGCTTCACTTATATAGATAAAATACATTCTCTGAAGTAAAAAGTCTTTTGGATGTTGCAGTTAAAATCTTGAATTCCAGATTCAGACAAATCCATGTTCAAATCCCAACTTTGCTACATTCTGCCATGCTGGACAAGTCACCTAAAAACTGTGTTGATATGTATACAGCTTTTACTGTTTTCCAAGCATACTTCTAAGCAAGTTACAGGTAATAATTTATTAATTCTGACAAGTAACCCTATGGGATAGTCACCCATTTTACAAATGGAAACACTGACACACAGAGAAGTTTAATAATATGCCCAAGGTTACACAGCTAGTAAAAAAAGGAAGTAGGATTTGAAGCCTGTGTTTAACCTCTGTGCTACACTGTTCCATAGTCATTTCCTTGGCTTTAAAAAATGAAAACAAATAATAAAATTAATGTGTGAAAGATATACAGTATAGTTATGGCAAGAAATGAGTAAAATATTATTATTATTATTTTCAGATTGCTGTCCACGTAGTTTAATAAATAATCATTTGAAAAAGCTTTTCTTTTTCATTTGAAAAAGAGTTTTTCAAATGATTTTTGAAAATCATTTGAAAAAGATTTTCAAAAATCATTTGAAAATGCCAACTCTGTAAAAATAACACTGAACACTCTTTACAAACTAAGGCTTCCAAAGTGTTGAGTAGACATTTTTCAAATAGCAAAGTTAAATTACTGTTTTGTGTATTCCATCCTTGTAGTCTCTCGGCCTATCATGTTAATCACGTTTCAATCAATGTATGTTGAAATGTTAAACACCCTTTCCTTCACTCTTCAACATTATGTAAGCAAAGATGATTGGAAAATGTGATAAAAATCATTTAAATGCAAGTTAGCATTATATTGAGTGACCTATCTCCCATACATGTTAAATTTCATTTAATTTTCAATTCATTAATCTAAAATAAAGAATAAGAAATGCACTTGACAATTAACTTACATTTACTTATGAGCATACAACTTTTGGAAATTCAACATACAATTTGTACCAGTTTTGTGAGTTGTACGTTTAGCTTTGTAAAAGTTATAAAGAAATAATTTTACAGATAAAGTGTAGGGAAATTGGTCAGTTGTACTTTTGTAAAAGGGAATGAAATGAAAGCTTGCCTCTATTTTCCTCACTTTCTATTAGACATGTGCAGAGGAATAGAAGTCACATCCACCTTCTAACACTGTTTTCACTCTACATACATTTAAGAACACTTATTATATCATTTTTTCCAGAGACGATTTTGTTATCATTAATATTTAAATATTATTTTGCTTAAAAAGATAAATATCCACTGCCATACTACAGGCAGGGGAAAGGAAAAACAACTTATAAGATGAGAGATTTAAACACAAAATGGAATTCCTTCAAGTCCCATAATCTATAGACCCTGATAGATTATATTTTTTTAAATTATCAACAATGATATCAACAATAAACTATACTAATTTATAAAATTTTACCTTCCTGGCCGGGCGCGGTGGCTCACGCCTGTAATCCCAGCACTTTGGGAGGCCGAGGCGGGTGGATCACGAGGTCAAGAGATCGAGACCATCCTGGTCAACACGGTGAAACCCCATCTCTACTAAAAATACAAAAAATTAGCTGGGCATGGTGGCGTGTGCCTGTAATCCCAGCTACTCAGGAGGCTGAGGCAGGAGAATTGCCTGAACCCAGGAGGCGGAGGTTGCGGTGAGCCGAGATCACGCCATTGCACTCCAGCCTGGGTAACAAGAGCGAAACTCCGTTCCAAAAAAAAAATTTAATTTTATCTGTTTTTCAAAGGAAGATACAATAAATACTCATTAAATAGGTTGAGAAACAGACCTCCAAACGTTCGCCAAGGTTGTAACCTTCTTAATCACAATTTCAAAATGTAGTCTGAAAAAGAACTGTTCTTTCATATTTTTGGTGAAGTAAAGCTTTCCATGGTCAAAAAACAATGGATCTATGAAATATTGCATAAAATATATCTCCATCTCAGTTATCAGAGGGCACACTAACACACGATTAGCTCTGAGAAATTCTGCAGAAGGTAATATGAGCACAACCTTGCTATCCTCAATGATGGTTTAGAATCCAGACAAAGAGTAGCTGATTCCGTCCGTGTGTTCTCCAATCTCTCAGTACTGAAATAAGGCTAACTCAAGATTAGCCATTTCTCTAAAACAATTAATTTGACATGGACCTATGGTTTTAACATTAGGACCAGTGATTTAATGGGTCTACATGTGAAAAGGGTAGAATGCCTAACTTACAGA